CCCGCCGAGCCCCAGCGCCCTGGCATGAAGGCCATCACCGAGCTCCACACCCGCGAGCTCCAGCACATCGAACACACCACCATGGACACCATCCTCGGGGAGGGCACGAGCCAGCGCCAGCTTTAGCTCCAGTTCTTCAAGGTGACGCTCCAGTTCGAGCCCCAGCGCCAGCTGCTTTTGTTCACCCTGCTCACGGCCACCCTGCTCATCTAGCTCCAGCGCCTGGTATCCTTGATCATGCTCGCCACCACGATCCAGCTCCAGCAGTGTACCATCATCATCATGGTGATGGAGCTCCTCTGGTTGTTCACCACCGTCACCATGGTCACCACCATGGAGGACGTCACAACCACCACAACCACCACCACCACCACCACCACCACCACCGTCACGACGGTCATGACGCAGCAGTGGCCACACCAACACCCGCAGCAGTAGTTACAGTGGTTCGGAGGACGCCGTGGTCGCTGCTCCAGCTTCTTCTTTGGGTTTTGGTTGCGATCTTGGTGCTGCTTGCGTGCTTTTTGCTCGTGCGATGGATGTTATCTCGAAGGAAGCAGCACAGGAATGCGATCTTTCAGGATCCCGGGTGGCAGATCGAAGTGACGAATCATCTGGAAGTTGTGGTGGACGATTCTCCAACTGAGACGAAACAGCTGGAAGCTCACACTTGTGGTTTCTCCTCAAAGTGTCCTGCCAACACTGGCAGTGACGCGTAAGTCAGCACAGTGCATGCGTTGCCACATGGAAGATTGTGTACAAACAATCTTCAAGGAGCAAGGAGATGAAGTTGCAGAGCAAGAAGACAGCAGGCTCTTGCTCACGGACGGTGATCTCACCCAGAGATCACGTACAAGGGTCGACTGGTGGAAGTCACCAGACTTGGAAGTTATTGCACAGCTTGGCTCGGAACATGGACTGGAAAATAAGTTTCGATTTGACTGAGCTATCCTCTAGAGGTGACAGGGGAGCAGACGTTAATGCACCTCCAAAGGCCAGAGAAGTTGCTTGAGACGAAAGGTTTGAGAAAAGGTAACGTACTACTTTTGCACTCTGTTCTTGCAGGCGCTCAAATCTCAACTTCGATGCAAGGCATAGCAGCCAGATAAGATTCTCAAGAGTCAAGAGCATCATAAGCCGGGAATCAAGCGAGTGCAACTGTGAAAGTATCTACACTGCGGCTTGCAACACAGGTTGTTTGACAGGATGGGACGAAGAACAGGATAGGTTGGTCTACCTCGCAAATTGTGAATATGAAGACAATGCATTTGTCGGGAGGATGAAGAAACACGACATTGGTTGCCTGGAACATGAACATGCACGTCTTCTATCAGATGCAATGAGAAGCTGGCATGCCTCCAAACGCTGAGACTTTGCATGGAGCAGCAAAACATCGTTTCCTGGGATATGCCAAGAACAACCTTTGCTCTTGAGTGCTACGAGCAAACCGGCAGCCAAACGCTCAGACTTTTCATGGTGGCGCTCAACGCACGCGGCGACTTAGCAGAGAAGAGGCTCCACTCGCAGATCCGGGAGAGAAATCTGGACGGAATGTGCTCGCTCAGTGTGGAGACATGCCTGCCACTTGAGAAGTTTTCCACCTCAGGTTCAGAAGTACTCTGGCGTCACTGTCACGATGACACACTTCTTCTTGCACTACTCATTTGGAGTCACTGGAGAGCGCCCTACGAAGCATGATGGTCATAGGTACTGTGGAAGGTTACTTTTCATTTAGGTGCTTGGGAACTGCCTGAGAACTAGGAGCGCTACATATGACTGAAGGCATATGCTTTAATCTCATGGATCCGAAGAACTTAATCAAAATGAGAGAAAAGCTTTTCTCGGGAGCTTGTCGGTAAACTTTGCAAGGAAAGAGTGTGATGCAAGGTCCGTCAATGAAACAAACAAAGATGGTACCTGAAAAGAAGCGAAAGGATCTTAGCTGGCACACCGTGGTGAAGAGATAAAGATAAAAAATATGAGAGACAATACTTATCTCTTAATTAATTTGCAGTATTGAGTAATTTAATTGATCAATAGTTATAAAAATATTTATAATTTATAAATCAAGATTAATATTAATAGTAAAATAAACAATAATATACTAGAAAGTGTTTAGGAAACTATAAATAAAAATATTAATCTAAATGATAGATATTAAAATATCCTAGAATATGCTTGCAAATTCTAGGATATTTTAATATCTAATAGTTGTGGTTGATTCAATCTGCTATAGGTCAAACCAATTATAGATCTATAGTACAAGCTTATTTATAAACCTATTTACATTAGTATATAGAACTTTTTCTCCAAAACAACTTTGATTAAACCCATATTAAAACTTGGGACTTAAGTTTCTTTGAGAATTTGTTGTAAATTAGATGTTATATTCTTCTTTCAACCATTCCCTGTACAAATATATAACCTTTATAATTACAATTCAAGTTCTTTAAATGTTTTTTGATTTTATATTAGTAAATGAGAAACAACAAACATATAAAGATTACAAATACTTAGTCAAAGGATGCAAAGATAACATACTCAAAGGCATTATAGTTAAAAGTAAAAGATTAACATCAAACAGCAATACTCATGAGTATATAATTCTCAGTTATGGAAGTGATATTATAAATGAAGCTTTACAACATCATATTCAATCAATTCCTGAGTTGCAATTACATATAATTCTTTAAATGTTAAAATAATGTCTTTCATCTTTTGCATAGGATGGATCAAAATGTTAAACTTTGGATTCATCATAATGTTTGAATATGAGGTGAAAAAAATAGATATTGGTATTATATTTTAAATTTAAAAATAAATTTTATCTATAAATTACACTGAAAACAATATAGGGCATTTCTTATAATTAACTTTATAGTAATAATGAAAAGATTAATATAAATATATACTTAAACAATTAGTGTAAATATTAATTTATAAATATTAAAAATAATATTTTCTTTTCTAAATTAGCTGATAATACAAAACCTCTATCAAATAGAAACTATTGCTAAAACATATTATATACTTAAATTATTATTTTTAATACCTTCTTAATAAAAATATTGCATCTAAAACCTTATAAAATATTCTTTAGTGTATCAGAATAATGCTTTATTTCGTTAAAGTGGGACTTATTCAGTAAAGTGGGACATTAATTAGCATGTGTCCACATGCCATTTCCTAGTACTTAATTAATATTTATTAATATTTCTATCAGTTTTTTAATTTATTTTTTTATATTTCACAATATTATAACACAAAATCATATGAAAATTTTTTAATTTATAAATTATAAAGTTAAAACTTCAATTTTTTATTGTTGTTATAAAAATGGCATGTGGCCACACACCATAAGTGGAATAATGAAAAGTCCCACTTTAACGAAATAAAGCATAATATCCTTGTCAACGTCTTTGTTTTCTTCCTTCTCAATTTGACGAAGTCTGTTAATAATATAGTCGTATATTACATTTACTTTAACAAAAGATTGGATCTAATCGATCACTGGGACGCAGATCGAGAGCATACCTTGTGTTTCCAACACTCTTTGAATTAAAATTCTCTCGTGGCAAACCAATTCTTTTATATAGAACATCATCTTAGACAGTGATAATTATTTGCGAGAAATGTCATTTTAAGTTTTTTTTTGGACACTACTAAATAACATATACCAAGTTGGCATAAGATCTTCAACACCATTAATGTTTTATAATTTCATGAAACATTCATAAGTTCATAGCTTTTTTATTTCCTTCTTAGAGCCTTCACAAGATGCAATTTTGTCTTTTGCACATCTCACCTTGGAAGGTATTTATCACTCAAAGCAACCATACTTCTAATTTAGGTGTCTGGGAGCTGCCTGAGAACTAGGAGTGCTGCGTCAGAACGAGGGAATTATCACTAAAGGCCAATCTCATGGATCCGAAGAACTGAGAAAAAAAGTTTTCTCAGGAGCTTGTCGGTAAGCTTTTCGAAGAAAATGGAGAAAGAGTGTAATACAAGGTTGACGGAGCTGTCAACGAAACCCAAACAAAGATGGTTCGTGAAAACAAGCGAAAGGATCTTAGGCGCTTGAAACAAGCGGGTTACTTTTAGAGACCTCTAAAGCTTAAGCGATGAGCTTGCTAGACTAATGGTAATTGTTTTTTATTTAAACATGCATTTTTTCGTCCTCGCTGACATTTTTATACACCAGCGTCCATTTCGATTCCATACCCGAGAGGAGCCTCGTCTCCTTTAACACAATGCTCTCGGCAGGGGAATGGAGGGAGAAGAGGCGATCAAACTGGCAGAGCTCTTCTTCGCCCAAATGCCCAACCGCGACCTCAATGCGATGCTGGACGCGTATGCCAAGAGAGGGCATCTGTGCCGCGCACGTATCCTCTTCGCCGCCATGCCGGAGCACGACGCCATCACGATCACCACCATGATCCACACGCTCGCTCGGGGCTCGGGGGATTTGGAATCGGCGCGGTTTCTCTTTGATTCTACGCCCGTCCGGGACGAGCTGTGTTGGAACGCGCGTATGCCCAGCGAGGGCATACCGTCGAAGCGAGAAAGCTATTTGATTCCATGCCTGCCAAGATCGATTCTTCCTGGAATTCGATGCTGTCGGCTTACATCCAAGCTTCAGATATGGCGAGCGCCGAGGATTTCTTCTTTCGTGCCATGGCCGAGTGGAATCTCATCGCCTGCACAGCGATGCTCGCTGCGGATGCCCTAAACGGGCATCTGTCCAAGGCCGAGGAGATCTTCGCGGCGATGGAGGAGGCGAGCTTGGTTTCCTGGACCGCTATGCTCGACGGATACGCGCGCAATGGATTCGTTCGAAACGCTGCCTCGATCTTTCACTCCATGGCGGAGAGAAACTTCGTTGCGTGGAGTGTCATGGCTTCTACGTTTGCTCGCCATCGCCACCTTTAAACACGAGCGAATTCTTAGTTTTGGCTGACGTCTCAGTTTGGAACTCTTTTGTTGCGCTCAATCCGAGAGCGCTAGCCTTCGCTCGCAAAGAGTGTTCCAGATCTTGAGCTCGATGAGTTGCGTCCAGATGAGAGCTCTTTCGTCTCGATCTTGCTGGCTTGCAGTCGATCCGGCCACGTTGATGCTGCTCGTCGATGCTTTAGCTGCCTAAGCTCGGATTTCTTCGTGGTGCTCAGTAAGAAACTCCATAGCTGCGTCATTGACACACTATGTCGGGCAGCGTTTTGCCGAGACGCGAGCGAGCTTGTTTTCAGCATGCCTTTCAAGCCAGACTCGGTGGACCTGAGCTCGATTCATCCAACTGTTGTAAGAGATCGAGTGGATCGATCTAAGAGTTTATCAAAGAGCTTATAGTTACCGGTTGATCCATTCATTGGCACGGCCACCCGACTCGTCCAAGCCTCGAGTTGGAAGCGAGGCTTTGGAAGGTTCCGTCCACATTCATGGAATATCCCAATTTTCAAATATAGATTTACATGCTAAACAAACATTTTATAAATCTCATGCAACTTATCAATGGTCTCCTGTCTAGTCTGAAAGTCGCTTCCAAAACCTTGTAACTCATCTTGGGTCCAAACAAAGAAAAGGATGGGATCTGGAACAAAGGATTCTCGCTGTTTAAAATGGCCAAAACTGTAGCGTGATCTTCCCCCATGTTGATCAAATAGTGAAGAACTCCACGGGGAATTATAAACAAATCGCTCGCGGTCAAATTCCTCGCAAAGAGCCTGTTGTTAGTGTCCACAAAGCCGGCCTCCACAAATCCCTTCTCCACATAGATGAGCTCGCTTGCCCGAGGATGAGCGTGAGCTCTCGCAACTCCTTTGGGGCCGAGATAGTTTCGTGCCACGGACAATCCCATCGTGTTGAGTGCCGGAAATGTCCTGACAATAGCTTGAAATCAAACGCATTGCGCGAAACAAGCTGGAGTGGAAGTCTTCTGAAGATACCTCTGAGTATGGCTTGCACTTCATGAAACCTTCACTAATATTGTTCCGTGGGATGCAAAAGTCCTGGATTGGATCGGGATCTGCAGCTCTCACAAGGACAAGAATGTGGCAGTCGTTTAAGGATGAGAGGAATAGAGAAAGCAATAAAAGTGAATACATTTGCATAGCCATGGGATGTTATAAGTTAACTGATGAGTGATTTTATTTGCTATCGTGATTTGGACACCACGTAAAAGCTGGTAACTTTAGTCAAACTTGTGACTATTGCTAAGCATTACAAGCCAAGACACGTGGTGTATGAAAATTATTAGTAATAGGGAAGACCATTATTTGTTATTAATGGAAAAAATAAAAATGAGATAACTTAGTTGTTATCTCATTCTCAAATACTTACACACCAAAGCTATTTTATAGTATATTTTATTGAGAATAACTGTATCGGGTGATATAAATGTACAGCAAACATATGAAAATATAAAGTATAGTCTTAAAGCATTTTTGGCTTGACAGTGTATACATCTAGAATATGCTTGGATATTCTAGTTGTTATTCATTTATATTTATTTTGTATTTATAACTTATAAATATGTTTATAATATATAAACTTTCCTAAACACTTCATAGTATATTCTAGTTTATTCTACCATTCAATGCAATAATATTAATTTCGTGTTTATAAATTATAAACATTTCAATTGAATAAATTAATAAGAATGACACTACTATTAAAAAAATTAAGCATTTCATAGCAAATTATTCTAAGTGTTAGTATAAAAAATTAAAAAATTATATTTAATATCTCAAATATGAAGATATCTTGATCAAAACTAGAATGTAAATTTTTAAGTTTAAAAGTTCTAAAACCCTTTGATTAAACCCATATTAAAACTTTTCTTTGAGACTTTATTGTAGATTAGATGTTATATTGTTCTTTCAACCATGCCCTGTACAAATATATAAATTTTACTCCCAGAGATATAAAAAGCCCTTGAAAATATATAATCTTAAATCCCACGGTGCAATGAACTAGGGAAGAGTATACAATTTCCAGTAATAATGACACTACAAATCCTCTCCTTGCTACTATTTTACCAATCCCTTTCAACTAGGATTGTTGTTTCCAGCCTCCTATTAAGTTATGCAAGTGTAATGCTGCCACACTAATCCCATAGCCTCATACCAGTATAACCATACCCTTGGCATTTTCCATTTGGAATCATGACCAAAGGTGAGCCACTTCTCTTGAGTCCAAGTTAAAGTTATATTTCTGCACTCCAATGATATAGCCTCTGACATGAGTTATGCCCCTTGAAACATCCTGTACATCTAAGTGGTGGAATCATGATGAATCCACAACCCAAGGCTTAGCCAACACAACTGTACCATACAAATTAGAACTTCAGTGTGCTGTCAAAAAGTGTTTGATTACTAATTGGAATTAAATGTGCAATCAGAAGGTACAGAAGTGCTGCCATGTAGTATGAAGGACCTAATCATGGTGAAGAATAGGTAATGGTGCCATAGCGAGATGTCCTGTCCTGTGTGTCAGTTATGTGATGGTGTCTTTCAAGCGGACTTAGCCTTTAAGAGAATCTGAAACAAAAGGAGAACAAAAGGCATACTTCTACACAGTGATCGTGGCTCTGTCTGCTTGTGCTACGAAAGAAAAAGAGTGGTGCCACCTTTCTGGTGCATAAAACAGCATCTCCTTATATCCGATCCTTTCTTGTAAGTGACAGGACTGAGAAATCGCACTGGACAACAGCCAACACAGGATTGCTTTAGATTACTCAATTGAAACAACAAAGTTTACAATAGTAATTACCATAAACTAAAATAAAACATGGCATATGCTAGTGTGAAGTTATAAACTACTACCTTGAATAGGGACAGTACAAGTAAACAGGGCACAGCTGCTGACCATCAAACACAATATCTTGCGCATTGGTTTCACCCTTCTGTGAAAGAAGCATGCCCAAGTCACAGGTAAGATCAGCCTGCAAGTAGTTTGAGCTATCGGATGAGTGCTTTTGGTCAATCCACTGAGCACTAGCACGAATTGCTGCTGAGAGTAGAACTTTTCCCGATGCTACATCAGCTTTAAACAGCTCCAACTTATCCACGGAAAGGCTCGTCTCGTTCACCAAAAGCCTCCGTGTCACAGAAACACTCCTGCTCTTCGGAAGCATAAAGGTGTGGAATGGAAACTGCTGGACGGCGAGCTCCACTCCACGGTAGCTCAAAGTTACGTCCATTGCATCAAACTTCACGTCCAGCAGATCTTCGTGCTTGCGATGCTTGAGATTCGAGCAGGTAAACTGGAGCTCTAGATTGGAAACAAACCTTGGAGTTGAGTTTGATGGGAGCTCAACGTGTGAAACCTTAATGTCCTTGAAGTCGCACCATGGTTCGTGACGATTGGTGAATGGCAGAAAAGATGGTAAAAGTAGTAGTGAAAGCACTACGGCCAGCGCCCCTATTACTAGCAATCCCCCAATGATTTCCTTCTTGGAATCCTCCATGCCCTATCTTCCCAAAATATAGTTCTTATTTTATAGACAAGACTTAAAGGTAATCTAAAGGATTAGGGTTTAGGGTTTTGTGAATGAAGTGGCTGGGCGTGGCGTGGTCGGGGCTAAGGCGGCATTTCTCGTCGCGGGCGGATGGAGTGGGATCGATTTACGACAAGCTTTTCGTCGTCCAGCCGCGCTTCCATCCGCCGCTGCTGCTCAAGGCCAAGCTCCTCGAGGCACTGCGCCTCGCCAATTCACTCGCGCCCCTCACTGCCACCGATCTCAAGTCGGATTTCCCCTCGTATGTGCTTGTCCAGGGCAGGAGGAAGATCAATGCAGGTGATTATTAGTCTGTTTCGCATCGATCGTTTCTCGTTCTCGAGTGAGTGAATTCTTTTGTTTCAAGGCACCTATTTTGGAGCGGGGACTATTGACAACATTCGCACGCATTTGGACGTGATCGACGTGGAAGTAAGGAAAGTTTTCTTTCTTTTAGCTCTGTAAAAGCTAAGCACGAGAGTCACACTGACAGGATAGAGAGATCGATGCCGTGTTCGTGAACACTTCCCTGTCCGGCGTCCAATAACGTAACCTTGAGGTGATTAGATATCTCCACTTTCTTTTCTCTTTGAATGTAGGTTGCAATTTTGAATGTTGGTTGCAATTTTTCTTACAGGATGCTTGGGAAAGGCCGGTTCTCGATCGCGTGGGCTTGATCATCGAGATTTTTGGCAGTCGTGCACGATCCAAAGAAGCCAAGCTTCAGGTAACTTCAAATAGATAGTGTGTTGATTATATGATGGTGTCTTTCAGGTGGAACTTGCTGCTCTAGACTTTAAGAGAACAAGGCTCATCCGAGAAAAAGGAGAACGAAAGGCGTTTGGAGCTGGTGGAGAGCAGGAGGTTGTGAGTGCACGAGGGTAAAAATAACTTCTTCTTGTCATCGAGGAAGAAATTCGTAATTCCTTTTTCCTTCTTCATAGGAGAGCAAGTGGTGGTGGTGGTCGAGGATTTACGAGCGGATCAGGAGAGTCGGAATTGCAGCTACAACGACGGAGGTACAGGGCTTTTTGTTTTGGTTTGTCATCTCTCTTGTTTGATATTTAGTTTTCAACCAGGATTTCGGATCAAAAGCATAAAATCCAGCTCGCTCTTGCGAAAGCAAAGCAGACACGATCACTGCATCGCCGCAACCGAGAAGGCATTCCGTTGGTTGCAGTCGTAGGATACACGAATGCTGTAAGTTGACAGTCTTGTTATGCGTTGATTGCTGAGAAACAAGATAGCAGTACACTGCAGGGGAAGTCGACACTCGTTGGAGCTCTATCAAAGAGCAGCCTCTACTCGGATGACAGGTTCATGAGAAACGCTTTTCTTTTCAGGTAAAGTTTTATCGCTCTGTTTCATAGGTTGTTTGCAACGCTAGACACGCAGGTGCGAAGTGTGATTCTTCCTTCAGGGTAAAATAGTGTCGACTCTTTCTTGTTTGTACTCATTGCTGTGTTTCTGCAGAAGAAGGGTCCTGGTGAGTGACACCGTTGGATTCATATCGGACTTGCCTACTCAGGTTTGTGAAGATTCTCAAGCACTCAACATCTACTTATGTTTGCGTGAATTTTGGAAGCTCGTGGAAGCGTTCCATGCAACTCTAGAAGAAGTTGTTGCTGCGGACATTGTTTTGGTAAGTACGCTTCTTTGATCCTGATTGAAGGTAGCCTGTTCCATGTTTTCAGCATGTCATGGATTCGAGCGCTCCAAACATGGACGAGCAGCGAGAGGCAGTTCTTAAAGTCCTGGGAGAAATAGGAGTCTCTCAACAAGATCTAGACGAGAAGACGATTGAAGTGATGAACAAGGTGGGTGCATGCTTGGCGTGACGCTGTGTTACAAGTTTCTAGTGGTTTTTCCAGATCGATGTTCATCCAGATTGTGGCGATCTTGATCTTCCAGCGGGTTTGCTTCTGTGCGATGGCAATGACGAAGACGCCCTGGTGATCCCGTCCTCGGAGGAGTACAGGAAAGCAGTGGGAGCGGCCAACGCTCTATCAAATGGAATCCAAGTCTCAAATCCAGAAGAAGTGAAGGAAGAACACAAAGAAGAAAGTGAAAGCGTCGAGCACGAAGAAGTTGAGCTATGGGGAACACAGCTCTTAAAGGATGGAAAAATAGCTCGAGTTTCTACGTCGGCAACGCAAGGCACTGGTTTGGAAAATCTTTTGCAAGTGATTGACTCGAGGCTTAAAAATAAATCATAAGACCCATACAACGCCAGTAATTTAGGGTTCTTGATGGATCGAGAGCTCACGCGTTGGATCCGCGGAGCTCCGGTAAGCTGGGTATGACGCATTCCATCCAGCGATGGCGGGAAGCGACATCGATCTGGATGCGCTACTCGATGCTCACAGCAGCGACGAGGACGACGCCGATCTTCCCGAGCTCGACAGAAGCATCGACGATATTCTACTCGATGCCGATGAGGAGGAGGAGGGTGATGTGGAGCGAAATTCGGATATTTCGGCCGCGATCCCGGAGAAGAAGCTCGAGAGCGGGATTGAGAGCCAGGGATCACAGGCGGGTTTAGTGAGTACAGGGGTGTCCAAGACTGCTCCAAGGCTATGGGACATCAGTGGAACGATTCCATTCTATCAGGTGACCACCAAGCCAAGTCCAAAGCCTGGCGCTGCTTTGGCGGCTGCTACTGCTGCTTCGAGACACAGTGGAACGACTACTCGCACAGCGTCTCTCAGGGATGTTCCTAGTGAAACTCCGGACGAGTCGGGAAGCTTGAACGAAGAAAAAGAAGAGGTCGAAGAAAAAGAAGAGGAAGAGCAAAAGGGACTCGACTGGGTTTCATCATCGATAGAATTCGTTAGCAACGAGGATACAAGTGCTGCGAAGAGAGACCAAGTGGAAATGGAGGCGACGCCGGTTTCTCTCTCGACAGAGGACACAGTTTCATCATCGTTAGAAGGTGGCGAGGTTTTGGACGAGAGGATAGAAGTGGCTGTAAATACCGTGGATCTTACCGAGGACAACGAGAGCGACCTTGTTGCCGTCCAGATACTCGACGAGAAGCTAGAACGAGGCGAAGACGGCTCATCATCGACTGAAAGCTCCGAAGAGAGCGTGCTGGAGGAGGCTTTTGATGAACATACTTCCCCTGAAGTGGAAGAAGTGAAGTCTCTAATGGTTGAGGCAGAAGAGCGGGAGAAACGAGCAGCGAACTCTGGTCTTCACTTGGAGGAAGGAGCTGCGGCGCAGCCAATGCAATTGGAAGGCATTCAGCGCGGGCCTCCAGCCATAGGCCTGCTGCAGCTGGACTGGGGTGGACCTCTGTCCTTCGCGCTTTCTTCCATAGCCATGATGCGTGACCACGGGAATCCACGGTGCTTGGCAGTTCAAGCAAACTTCATTGCGGTGGGAATGTCGAAAGGTACTGTACTCTTGGCTTTAAGCAAGTACTCCGCCACTACCACAGCAGACAACAACGAAGCTAAGGTGACTATTTTCTTTTAGTTTGCTATGCTGGAACTCACATTTTTGTATGCTCAGGTGGTTCTCTTGAGTAATGCCGCAGACAAGTCTCACGCCTCTGCGAGTGTGATGTGCTTCAGCTTTCTTGGAGACCTGCTTCTAGTGGGATATACTAATGGGTCTGTGATACTATGGGACGTTCCAAAAGCTGCGGTAGCTAAAGCCGTCACAGGAGAGCATCACAACGTGATAGTTCATGCAGCATTTGTAGGACAGGACGGTTCAACAGGTCGCCCCTTAAAAGCCATGACTGCAGATTGTAAAGGGGTGGTGATGCTCCATACCTTCACACTTGTTCCACTGCTGCGCCGCTTTTCAGTCACAACACAGGTGGTATCTTTTTTTCATTTTGAGTAGGCTTGACCATGTCCTACTTGCAGTGCCTTCTAGATGGCCAACGGACGGGTGTTGTCCTCTCACTGGCACCTCTGCTGCTGACTGAAAGTTTACTTCAGAATATTACAGGGTCTGGTATCACTGGGGCAGCTGGAAACGATGCGGGAAGGAAGTTTTTGTACGACGGATCTTCTTCGTCTGACGAAACCGGGGGCCTGGTTGTATTTGTCACTCAGCAGATTGCTCTTGTGGTAAATATTTGATATTGTTTATCATGGTAACTACACTGACGTTCTTTGCAGTTTCGATTATTGCCTGCTTTAGAAATATGCGCGAAACTAACACGGCCGGAAGGTGTTCGAGAGGGGTCGATACCGTATGCATCTTGGAGGGGTGTCTCATCTATGAAGTCGGAAAGCACTGCCCAAGGTCAAGACGAGCCTTTGCTTGCTCTTGCCTGGGGAAAGAAGGTCCTTGTTCTTCAACTTCAAAAGGCCGATCTTAAAGTGCTGGCTGAATGGGATATTGATAACAAAGCCGCTGGAGTAGCTTGGCTTGGTGACCAGGTAAGACGAACTTGTTTGAGACTGTTCCTCTTTAACGATATTGTTTTGACAGATGCTTGTGGTCGCCACTGTCAAAGCTGAACTTTGTCTATTCACAAAGGAAGGTCTTGCACTTGAACGTGCTGCCATACGAGACAATGACGGGCACACAGAGCCTTTGACATTTCACACCTACTTTCTGGAGACGTGCAACAATCCTGAGAAAGTTTATGGAAACTCTTTAGGAGTCCGAGGGGCAGCATCTTATTTTCTGGGAGCTTCAAAGCTCTGGAGGGCTCGGCTACTTCCTTGGCAGGATAGAATAAAGGCACTTCAGGATGCTGGTGACTGGATGGGCGCTTTCCAGATTGCAATGGAGTTGTTCGATGGACGGGCAAGAGGTGTTACTGGCTTACCTTCTGGGCTTCGTGCAATGCAGGAAGCTATTATGCCAAATCTTCTAGCATTGCTGTCGTCGTACATCGATGAAGCTTTCGCTTATGTTCGTTTGGCTCTTGGTGTGCCTGAAACTGAAGCTGCCAGGGAACAGTATGCAAGAGTCGGGCGGGTTGCAATAGAGTTTTGTGTACATATCAGCAGGACCGACGTACTTTTTGAGAACGTTTTTCGAAAGTTTGATGAGGTCGCCCAAGCAGGTACGTACGTCTCTTAGCGCTTGAAGAGGTAGCTCTAATGTTTTTGTGTTGTTCGTTCAGCAACATTTCTGGAGCTGTTGGAGCCTTACATTCTGAAAGACATGCTCTGCGGCCTTGCACCAGAGGTTTGTTGCCTTAAAGTCATACAAATGTTTGTTTAAGCCGGTTGTTTCAGATCATGCAATCTCTCGTTGAGCACTACAGCAGCAAGGGGTGGTTGCAAAGGGTCGAACAGTGCATTCTTCACATGGATATTGCGTCATTGGACTTCAACCAGGTTTGCGTCTCTGTACGTTCGTTGTCATTTTTCCTACTGTGTTTTAAGGTTATGAGACTTTGCCGGGAGCATGGATTATTCAGCGCTCTGATTTATCTTTATAACAAGGGCTTAAATGACTTCAAATCGCCATTGGAAGAACTGCTGATCGCTGCGCAGGATCAACATCAGGAAAATGCTTCGTCTTTTGGGTATGTTCTACATGCTTTCGCATAAGCAAAGCTTATTTCTCCGTTGTCAGGTATAAACTTTTGGTATATCTCAAGTATTGCTTCTCTGGTCTTGCGTTTCCTCCTGGTACGTCCGTCTGTTTACAGCTTTATCAAGTTTGCTCATATCATGCTCATGCTTAAGGTCGTGGATCATTACCTGCTGAACAAGTATATGGACTCAAAATACAGCTTTTGGAGTATTTACTCGACCCCGCTGGCTCTGGAAGAGATGCAGAGTCGGTATATGCAGTTTATCCGAGGCTTCATTATCTACTCAACCTGGATGTGTCGGCCACCCTGGATGTTTTCAAAGTAGCTTTGGGGAACGTAAAGGAGGCTGAAGGACATCTGGTCCAGCTAACGATTGATCCTCTTGTCCACATTGTCGAAACAGTTCTATGCATGGACACCGAGTTCATTGACAAGACAAGCTACATTTTACAGTTTATTGCCGACTATGTATCTGCTGGGGCTGCTTCTATACCTCCTACAACACTAGATCGGATTCTAAATCTATTTCTGGACAATACTCAAGAAAGCATTCTCCCTGATCGCGAGGAACTTACGGTGAAAGTTTTGGAGGCCGTTCCCGCGGAAGACTGGGATCCTGATGCTGTTCTTGAGCTAGCTAAGAAAACTCAATTCTGGCGGGTAAGCATGCTTGTTCCTGAAAATGCTTTGTATAGAATTTTCCTACGCAGGTGTCCGCGTTGGTCTATACACGGAAAGGAGACCACATATCCGCACTTTATAGTCACCTAGAGGATGTTTCTCGACCACGCCATACTTTTAACTTCGTGATATCTAAGCTTGATCGGGAAAATGGCCTCAAGGGAACTGCATTGACAGAATTCCGTGCGGCTGTAATCTCTCGTATTCATCACCTTGTACAGAAGAACAGGTAAAACACCTAGTTTCTGTTTTGTTCTTTCAGTGCTTTAACTAGTGTTTATTATTATTATTTATCGTACAGGATTGCAGCTTTCTATATAGTTCTTGAATACTTCAATGACCAACTCGACGATGTGGTGAAAGCCTTACAACCGTTTCCACTCTCTCTGTTTAACTTCCTGAAAGCTCTTATGGAAGTCCGTGCCATCTCAGATACTATCAGTGATGTGCAAGTCTCAGAAGTCGACTGCGATCCCTGGGATGACCGATCCCGACTAGCAACGCTACTGGAAAACATGCGTTTGGAGGTCACGGATGACATGGTCGAGGAATATATAGAGGTTTGATATGACCTTTACCATTTTTGCCGTTTAAGCGCAGTTTTTTTTCACAGCTTATGTGCGAGCTTGAGCCTAGTGGCGTACTGAATTTTCTTCAAGGCCATGAAAATTATAGGCTTGAACAATGTTTGAAGCTGTGCCAGAAGTATGGGGTGAAAGACGGTGCGGCTTTTCTTCTCGAACAAGCTGGTGATGTTGGCAGCGCTCTGACTCTTATTCTGGGTGACCTTTCGAAGTTATTCCATGAACTTGATGCGGCAGTTGCAATAATGTGCACTGCATCAAGCACTGGAACGAACATTCCTGAGGTAAGTGAGAAGCGTTATGACATGGTTTTAATGTTCACGATCTCTTCTAGGAGCAAGCTTTGCATTCAGTTAAGAATGCCGCGGTTTCTCTTTGCCAAAGAAATACTTTTCGGCTTGATCCCCAGGAAGCCGAGTCCCTTTGGTTTCATCTGCTGGACAGGTAGGAGTTTGTAATCTCTAGCTTAATCCCACGCAACCTTGCTACAGATTTATTCACCCTCTGGATGCTCTGAATTCGTCGAAGCACAACAAAGCTGTGAAACCAGCAGATACAGGATCATCATCTCGCTACGAGTGGCAGGTTTTTCAAGTTATCGGTGCAGCGAGTGTTCTCCGAAAGATGCTTTCTAAGTTTGCTGGGGACATTGTCACGGGTATGATTGGTCATGTACCCGTGCAAGTGATTTTGAACAAGATCGTATCGGATCATGGTAACCACGAGCTTGGCGATTTCAAGAACACCATTCTCGAAATGCTGAGTGCGTATGGCTACGAGTTGGCAATTCTGGTAGGACATGAACTTCTTTCTATTCTTAAACAAGGACTCGTTGTCCTACAGGGTACTGCAAGGCGGATACTTGAAACTGACATGTTTCACGACATTCAAACACTTAAGAGAGGCCGATCTCGTGGATTAAGTCCCTTGACAGCCAGCTGCAGCGTGTGCAGTCACACGTTTGTGGAAGATCAAAGTGCAAGGAAGGGCGTACAAATTTTCTCTTGTGGGCATTTAGTCCACCTGAGCTGCATGGAGGACGCTAACTCAAAGTCAAACCGGTGCCCGGTTTGCATGCGTCACGACGTAGGCACGGATACAAATTACAACAATGGTTACAACAATGGAAGCTTTCCTCAAGATCGTAAGGGTAAAGGCCACGAACAGGCTATCGAAGAACGGCAACCAATTCGGAAACAAGGAGTCTCCAGAGTGAGTGATTTCTTTTTTCTGGAAATCTCCTCTCTCGACTGATTGTGACGGTCTCTTGCTGCACAGTTTGAATTGCTGAAGAGTCTCCAGAAGGGAGAACCCCTGCCTGAGCTGAATCCTGATTTACCAAGGCTACAGCTCTCGCCTCCGATCAAGTACAAGCACAGGCCTTCCAGGCCGCTGTCTGGCTATAGCAACACCAACATCAGCGGCAACTCTAGCAGAAGACCCCTACAGCAAAAATCGCATTCCTTGCGCGTTCTCAAAGCAAAATGATAAACAACAAGCTCGTCATGCTCTACACCTTTCTGGCGAATTCAAATTTGCTATCGTATGAAGAGGTACGTGATCATCTAGTAGGTTATAACGCCGTCCTTCTAGGAGAAGTCCATTCTATATCCTATATCGGAATGTGACATGGCGTGGCAGATGACGGGCTCCTTGGCCGCTGGAGGTGAGACCGATCAGCACGCATGCCAGCATCCTCGGCAGTGGAAAGGAGTCACCAGAGTTTCTCGACATAGCGGCCGAAGCTCGGGAGTCGACTTCATGTCTTCCAAGGTGGACGTGCAGCTGTACAAGTGCCACGAGCAAGGTCGCCATTTCAAGTTTACAGGATGGATTCTTGCGACCAGCGTCCAACACGGTCGGGCCATTGTGGCCGAGCTCTCACGGTCCAGCACTCAAATTCTTCCAACTTCCACTGCACGAATGACTTACCTCTACACAGTCTTCTGCGACTGCCAACACTGTATGGAGCAGCTGTTTGAGCTACTGGCGCTTGAGGTCAATGAGCAGGACAATTGGAATGGGAGGCATGCTTTCCGGGACAGTCGATCGATTCGAAAGAGTAACTCGATTCTTCTTTTATTCTTTGGCTCGATCGTCGCGTCCGATCCAACTTTTTATTTCCAGGTCTTCGAGACAAAATCTGGCCGCAACGTCGTTGCTTCTTCTCGGTAAAGTGTCTATTTTGCCTGCAGATAGACAATCCAAACTCTTTTAGTGCCGCAGAACATGGGCTAGATCAAACAATGCGTTGGAGAACTCCAGCATGACGCAGAATCCGAGAAAAGGCAACAGTCTCATTGTCCCCCTTCATGTAATGATAGCAATTGTTGTGATTTCTCATTCCACTGGTGATCCTGAGAGCCATCTCGATCTTCTCAGCAAACAATCACAGTGCGAACAACTCTTGAGGGCCGTCATCGACAAACTAAAGATGACGAGGTGACGAGAGGCTTTGTGACAAAGAGAAATAGCGATGCATTCCATACTTACTTCCCCTGATGCCTCGATAGTCTTAACTGCGTATAATACGACAGATAAAACTTAGTTTCCAGGTATAACATTCATAGCATTCTTACCTTCAAATGTGCAAGAACCTAAAACTCCACAATGGAAATTATTTGCCCAACCTATACATAAAATGGCATCACTTTTTGGCCTAATCTTACCGTTTATTTTCACTGGATATGACCCAAGGATCAGATTTATGCTCTCCTACGCATGAGCAGTAGTGTCTTATGGGATCATTCCCACTATGCTCTCCATAGCTGTCTATACGAGAGGTCTTGCAGTTGTTGAGAGCTGTGGAACCGGGGCTGTCACGGTGATGTCCCAGACCTGGAGTTTCCATCCTCATAGACACGGGCATTTGCGTGGACATCTCTAGAGATGAGCTAGCCCCAATTGGAGGAGCTAGCATGGAGGACTTACAGAGGAAGGAACTTATGGATGTTGTGGTGGTGGTGGGCCGCTGTGATCATCCTTTTCATTTGTCATCATCGATGCACTGATGAGTGTATCTATTTCCTGAGCATGCAGAAATAGCAATACCTACATGTGTGCATAGAAGAGGAGGAAATGCTGGATCTTCCAAAAGCATTAGATTCTTGTTGTGTACTGATATGAATATTGCCATGGAATATGTATTGGCATCTTAAGAACAAGTATGTGGAGACAATGTTATAGAGTAGTGCTCTTTGTCTTTGTCTTTCTTTTTTTTATCCTTCTCAGTATCTCAGAGAAGGTGATTTCACATTAGAATGTTTTTGTCCACTGGTTCCTTGAATTCACAATACACTCCAGATCTGGACGTGGGATTTCCAGCTGTAGAAGATGAAGACTATAATATTCCATGAAACACCCTGTGCACTACACAAAGAACAAGTGTGTGTACTATATACACCAATGCCATATAAAGCCATTGTGTTGGGAGCAATGGCCCCATTGTTGTTTCTTTGACAGGTGGAAACAGTTGAGAATGCTAAAGTTAATAGAGTTTTCTAAATTTCTCATTGTTTGACAGGCTCATTGATGAAGTTATTTATGGTAAAAAAAATTAAAAATACTATAAATTATTGGGTCCAAGTATTTAGAGCTCACATGTGTCTAAAAATAGAAAAAAAGAAATACAAAAGGATTTAAAAATAAATAACAATCCCAAGTGCACTAAATAAATACTCATGGAAAAGAAACACTTATATATGGTATCAAAACTGTTTCCTATTTCTTTATATCTATGTTTGTTAAATATACAATTTGTATTTGCAACACCACCAACCCCCATTCCAGATGATGAGCCTACTCTTATATATGCTAAAAATCCCTTTGCTATCAATGTAAACCCCTTCACACGCTTTTTGGGGCACATTCGAGCATATATTTTCTCAACATTTCTTGATGGTGAAACATATCCAACAGGATTACGAATTATAAATATTCATTTCCATAGATCAGGGTTTAATATCACTGCAAATTTATATATTTTAGAACCTGGGTTTGCTAGTCAACAAACTCTTATACCATATGTTTGCACTACAGATCCAACAATTCCATTAGGCTTTCAAGGTGATGAGGTAAGAACCCTTTATGAAAGAATTTTAACATTCATTCAAGCAAGAGCTGCATCAGATACACATGGGATATCCTTTTGTGGAGAAATCCGTGTTGTTTATTTCAATCTTATGATTGACTATGAGATCACAGTACCACTTCCTCAACTTCCCCATGAGATGCTCATGCATAGTAATTATACTAAAGACTACAAATCTGAAATAGTTCCACAGCTACAACTTTTTCATATAGCAGATTTGCATAAAAATTGTTGGGCATTCTCAACTATACTTATTGGTCAGAAAACTAATATAGTTGGCTCTTCTATTGAAATTGGTAATAGTTTAACTTCACCAAATAAAAAATTCAGACTAACTTTAGGGAGTGATTGCAAGCTAAAGTTTTATAAAATTGGGTATAGCATCCCACTTTGGATTAGTGAACACAAATTTAACCCCCAGCAAAGCTGTTATGCACACTTACAAGAGGATGGAAACTTTGTTATTAAGGAAAGTAATATTAAACATGATCAAAATAATGTTTATTGGGCTAATAATAAGTATTGTACACCACAACCCTCATGTAAGATCATCACAACATTAGTTGTGAGTAATCATGGAAATATTATTATTTATTGGAACAGTAGAATTTTATGGAAAGCCTTGTGAATTATATATTTTGAGGCTTATTATAAAACTTATCATAAATACTATAATTAGATCAAATTTAAAATTACTCTATACCATATATACTAACATTAGCATTACATTAGAAATTTGTAGCTGTAAGTTTTGTAACTATAGATATGCATATTTACATATATCATAATATAAGATAAATATTTTAATTATAATAGTGTAGCATATGGACTTGATTAAGACGAGATTTAATCCATGCATTTATTTATATAAACAAGGGTCTTTTCAATTATTATATCTTCATATTGAAAATTATCCCTAAAGGACAAGGGTTATGCTTTTGATTTTTTGTTTGTTTTGATTTGCTTAGCTTTTTGTTAAATTTCTTTTTATTATCATTTTTGCTCTTTATATTGCATTTCCTCTTTTTGCCATATCATGCCATCAATTAAAGAGTGTATCATCAAAGTAAGTGTCAATAGTTCTTGAAGAAGTCTACAAATCTCAATGACGATTTAGTAGTGATAGGCTTGCTTTACTGGATGGTGTGGTCCATTATCCTTATCTGGCAACACTATTCTTGCTATTGTATCACATGTGGATTGAGCTTTTGGTACTATTGGGTGTATGATGTTGCTTTAATATTTAGTATACTGTTATCTCCAACTTTTGTAAAATATGATTACACTATGTGTCCTATTCTTAATATCTGATTGGAATATACAATTGTGAAGGGTAGAATGTCCAAATGGTACTGAGCACAACCACACATAAGAGAGCTTGGCCAAAGAATGCTAGCTGATCCTTAATATCCATTAAAGAGGAATGAGAACAATAGAGAGGAGGGAAGAGAGAGAGAGAGAGAGAGAGAATAAAAATCTACCATACTCTATACTTATAGTGCATTCTATCTCTCTTCTCTTAAGCCAACTGAAAAAGGGGCAATTGTTTGATTAATAGCTATTTTACCCGTATTGTAGTCCCACAGTGGATACCTTTATCCATGGATACTCCACACAAGAGGAAAGACATAAACATGGATGTCCAATATGTACAATTTTAAATTTTAGGGGTAAAAATATATTTTGCTCAAGGGTATATTATATTTTTAAGTAGCCACTAATCAATGGGAATCGAATCCATACCATTTGCTCTGATACCAACTGTAGCTCACCCTATCTCTCTCCCCTTAATCCAACTAGAAAAGGGGCAATTGTCCTTAGTGGCTATTTTATCCCCCATTTATCCCCTAACGTTTCAAGGATCTACGGTGACAGTATATCTAAATCTCATCCCATAATCACATGCGTGTAAGCCACAAATGTTTCCTTTCCAATTTGCCAGCTTACCTCGTCTATTTGACCAACACTGCCTTGGCTTGTGCTAAGTTCCCTCACCAAGGTTCCCTCCTATTGTACTAGCTCCTACTTGGTCCTACTTTGTTTCAGCTACTCACTACATGAGCAACGGAGCGTTAGCCATCCATCCACGGATTCCCAAATCTCTCCCAATCCCCCTCCCTGGGTTAGACTAGACTTAAGGTTTGGCTACACTCCTCGCAGGCACAAGCAGCTAAGCACACCAAGCCTCTAGGTTTCTAACACCCCTTGGTACAACAAGACTTGATCATAGGACCCTCTAAATCCCAAGCCTTAGGTGCAACACTTGCTTCGGGACATCGGGGCGAAACACCGTGGCTTAACGGCCTGATATGGGTACCTCTACCCCCCCACTTCCATCCCGAAGGGAAGGCCCAAGCCCCTAAGAAGGGCGAGGACCAATGAGCCACAAGGTACTCAAGTGGGGCACCACTCCACATGAGTTGGGATCACTATAGTCAATTTTCCTTTCGGGAGTGGGAGTTGCTCTTGAGCACTTCTTTGGGTGGCCCCTCTGGCACCACCCAAGCCTATGCTCACTCCCACCCAAGGCCCCTCGGCCCCAATCTCAACCTCAAGTCAGTTTGGAAAAACACTATTGGAGAGTTCTTTCAAGACTGGTTCCTAAACCTCACTATCCCTACTATATTGATACTTTTGGAACCCCCTGCAGCCCCCCCCCCCCCCCCCCCCCGAAATTATATACCTTTGTGTATTGCTCTTCATTAAAATGGTATAAGTGGACAGTCTATACCATATGATTCAGACTCTTCTTCAACATCTAAGAGTGATGCTCTTCCATGAGACTAACAAAAATCTCATGCAAAAAAATGTCTTTATCTATAACAAAGAAGTTTGAAAATGACAATAGAAGTTTACTCATATTTCTTAAACCTGACTATGTATGCTATCCTTATAAATTCTGTCATAAAAGACCATCTAACTATTTCAAATATGAATCACCTTGCTATTGGTTTGGATTTTTCAGTACCAATACCTTCAATCTAGACTCCACCATGGCACCCCACCCAGCAACAAGCAAGCCTTGCCTCAAAGGTGACCTTTATCAAAGGATGAGTAGACATGTGCTATAGGCCATACCATGGATGTGCATAATAGGCATGTATGGAAGATCATAAAAAACATCTGATCACATTGGATGCCCATTGGATGTGCATAATAGACACATAGTTATGACAGGCCAATCAAATGTTGCCACATGGTTTACGAATAACACGCCATACATACCCCTGCCATCCTATATATATGCCCTGGCTCTGGGCCATATGAAATGGTTGAGTGATGAAGCAAAAGCCACTCCCTGCACCAACTATATTGCTGGATGACAGAAGCTTGCTGATTCTAGAGGGTATGGTCCAAGTCCAGATGCAAAAGCCTGAGGCACAAAGTCCTTCAAAATA